TGTTCGATCTTTGTATTAATAATTATAACAAACTAGTGGAGTAATTTCACAAAAAAGAATTGAATATCAATTCAATAAAAATTTAATTAATTGTGTTTTAGTTACAAACCTGATCTGCGAACTTGAGTTCGGTGATGATCTTCGAACTCACTGATGCGTTACTCGTGATTGTGGAGTAGTCGGACTGACTCGAGGAGGAGCGCTCGAGCAAGCCGCCGCCGCCGCGCCGACGTAGAGAGGTCAGTTCTCTGCGCAAGTTCTCGGCCGATTCCTTTATAAACGACTGCGTCTTATGGCTGTGTCTAGGGGTGCTCAAGGTTGTCTTGCTCACCAATGATGGTGACTTCACAGACTTGCTGTGATCGCTACTGGACACATTCGACTGGCGTTGCACCATCGCCAGCCCCACCCGCTTTTTCCTTTCGTTAATGGAAGGTAAGCCACTCTCGGTGGTCTTATGAGAGGGATTAGATGATTTAAGATCATTGTAATCACTGGTGGAGTTTTTGGTAAAGTAGTCCATATTGACGGCTAAGGACTTGTATATTTCTTGGATAAGTTTGTCGGTTTCTGGACTTCTGGAACTTAGGTGCGTATCGCGGTCGGAGAGCTGCTCCGTGTTCGTAGCAATAGTGGCGGGTGGCGGATGGTGAACAGGCGTTTTAGGCGCATTTGCCACTATGGTCGATCCGGTTGTGTTGACACCCTTCGGTATGCTTCGGAAGCGGCATGCACACTGGCGACCCGTGGTCTGTATGAAGAGCGGGTAATTATGCATGCATTTCGGCTGAAATGGAGAAAGGGGTGGTGATAACTGGCTCGAGGGAACCTGTCGTGAACACGTCGGCCCATAGGGCCTCAAGTTGTACGGGCTGTAGCTGTAGTTCATGAGGCTAGAGAGGGCGTCCTGCACCGGCTTGATTTTTGAAATGGCTGCCACCGCGGGTTGCATGTTATTCTGCGACTGATCTTTCTGAACGACGGCGTCTTTCTTCGAAATGCACTCGCAAGGATTCTTCATTCGAGAGCTAGTTTTCACTTCCGTCAACACCGACTGTAGGATCGATTTTATTTGGTTTAGTGTAACTTCAGTATTATTTTCGTTGCTTTCAGTGGCTTCCAGCTGAACACTTTTTGTGGAAGCCGTTTGACACTCTGAGTTGTTAACACTCGTTGTGAGACATTCCACGTTTTTAACTTCAACCGAGGCTTTTTCTGGTGTTCTATTAATATGGCCTTTATTCGAAATATTAGCAGTACAAATTGGTCGCGCATATACGGGGCTGTAATCGACAGCGCTGATCGTTGGCGAGTCCCTTCTTCTCCAGTCTGTCCTTTTCAGGTGGGCCAATTTACCTAGACTGTCCTTTATTTGAGGCATCACTTTGGTGTTATTTTTTTTCCTCTGTGCATGATATCTAGGGATGACTCGGAGCGGTGCCACATTATGGTAGTTGTACTGCTTTCGAGGTTTCGCACGTTTAGCCTTTGTGCGACAGACATCGTGAGTCGCAAATCGTTTTGGTTCTTGAATTACATACTCGTTTTCATCACGTCTCTGCTTCGTCGGCAGCTCTTTCACCGGCACTATGTCGTAGAGACTAGAGTCATAGAATGCGCTGTTGCCAGTGACTTGTTGTTGTGCGTACTGACTCATTCCAAGTATAGATGTGGTCTCCCACATATCACCGCGTTGAGTGAGCCTCATTGTGTCATCAACGTTATGAAATGGGCCGTGGCAGCATGAGCAGATATCAGATTCGTAGCGCTCCGGTCCGCTGTCGCGTGGCGGATCACGGCACACCGGCGTCGAGAAATCACTGACATCTGAAAAGTCAGCGCCCATTGGATAATGTTCATACTGTTTTCGAATCATGCTTGAGACGTAGCGCTCGCTCATGCTACAATTATTATAGACAGAATAGTAATCGTAATCGTCCAACCCCGTCAGATCGTAGTTTTTTCGGTTATGGTATGTCGTTTGTTCGCTTTTCGATGGCTCGACTAACAAATTAAAGGGGGTTTTTGTTCCGGTTTGTACGTAGTAAACGAGATGAGGCTTATTGTACTTTAGCTTTCTTTTATTTGGTCGCGTCTCTTCGTTTTTGTCTTTCACTTTCGTTACAATTTTATGTCGGATAGCAGAAACTTTTCTCTCGAACTTATTTCTCGCGACCGGTTGGTCCAGCGCATTGTCGTTAGGAGGTCCGTGCACCCTGTCTGGCGCCGCGCGGGCACTTGAGCGACTGCCGTTACGAAAGACGTGGAGAGCGGTGCTCCCAGGATGGGTGGTATTGGAAGACGCAATTTCTGAAGTTCCACGGATTTCAGCGTCTGCCTCGTAACCATAGGGCCGCGGAGGCTCAAACAATGGCGGTGAAGCAGACACTATAGCCGTGTGACAGATATGTTTCACATTGGTGGTTTCGCACCGGACCGTGGAATTTTCTAGCTCTTTTTCTAGTTCGCTAATTCTGTTTTGTAAATCTGTAACGTCGATCGGTATACAAGATATAATTTTTACTTCGGTCTGTGACGCTGTGTTACCTGAAACGAAAGTTTTTCTGTGTTTAAGAGTGGTTTCGAGTTAAGTCCAAGAAAATAATTTTCAAACTGTCGGTGATTTCTTTTTCACAAAGACTGCTTACCGAGATTAAACGCAATACGTCTCAGAAACGATTCGATGCCTTTGAAACGTGGTCGGCTGCACGGCGAGAAGCTCATGGCTCTTTCTCATAGCATTGCAAGATCATCGTGGTGCTAGTTCCTTGATGGTGGCTTAGCTCACGGGCACCCTGGCACAAAATGATATTCATTCTTTCCCTTGTCCTGGACAGCTTTATCGAAGATAGCTTTTATCTTTACAATAGAAGTAGGCAAACACTCGAGGTCTTGTTTTACTATCTCCAGCTCATATGTCTCAAAGAGAGCACCGTGGTGTGAAAGGCGTGTGACTTGGATAGAAAATAGTGTTTCGATGGTGTGCTCTTATAGGATGGATGCGAGTAAAACAACGACAATTTACAGATGGGACATGTAGGAAGATGTGGGCAAAGATTGCCCTTGCATAATACCACGTCAAAAGTATTAAAAAAAGCAAACGGGCATTGTATAAAGACATATGATTGGAGTAAGGTTTGTTAGAAACGTAGCAGATGGAGGTCCATATTCTCTATCTACTCTAGAGGGAGGCAGGTATGATAGCCTGTACACAGAATGATATTCTTCTTAGCATGTTGACCCTGACGTTTATAGTAGTGAGGAGGACCAATACCTACTTGGCGACTGACACAGCATTACCAGTGGCGTTATGCAGGTGTCACGGAATGGTAGTCTGTACCTATGTAGGTACACATGATACGGTTATTATTAATTACATGCGTAAGTATTGTTCACATCTACCGCAATAGCAACTAATTCCAAGACTTAAAGTACAAACCTCGGACCTCCTTACCTTCACACAGGGGCGAGGACTACTTAACCAGCAAATTCGGGTCTCACGTTTCAAACAAAAAATTTCATCTTGTGTATCCAAACACTCTACACCTATTATTATACTAATTAATCCTACCAATGCTACCTGAATTATCTTACTATACCATTTGATATCAATTTTGTCATTTAGAATTGTGATTTGTAGATAATGTGATTTTGAATTATGATTCATGTCGTCACATTTTGTCAATCATTTCTCTTTTCATCTGCTGCCAGCTGCCAGCGTCAATTTAAAATTGTTTTAAACGTATGGTCAAGCTGTATACCAGCATTTTGCTCTCAGGTAGTAAGGCCTTTACCCACAAATTATCGTGTTTGCCACATATTTTGCTGTTTTATTAAATTTATTTTTAGAAATAGTATTTGTCTACTCTAATTATATTTCCCTGACCTTTACATTGACTAAATGCGAAGACAAAGCCATCAATAATAAAGAAAAAACCCAAAACATTGTTACGAGTACGTAGCAGCCCTCCGCGCCTCACGCTACTCGGGCTCTCTACGCTACTCTAGAGTCACACCACGGCCGCATGCACGCACCCTAGGTGTCGCAACCTCCTCTTTGGCTGAAGAAAGTGGATGTTAAGAACACTAGCGCGCAAAGCGAAAAGTTTCGTTCTTTAATAAGCGCCCGGGCAAGGACCAACGAGTGCTAAGAAATCGGGACCACTTAAACTTTGGCGTAGAATGTGACCGTTGTAAAGAGACGGGACGAACAAATCGTGAGCCTGGTGGTAAGCGACACGAGTGTCCATGACAGTTACAGTGCCGCTCAGAGCTTTAAAACGCGAATATCGGTAGGGCACTGCCACTGCGCCCGTCGCCTTGAGACATCCATGTGCTTGTAATTCCACCAGCACCCCTACCCTTCAAAACCGAAACGCAGTAATGCTAACATTACTGCTAGGCGTCAGAAATAGGCAAAGTGGCAGTACTTGGATGTATGACTATATAGATAGTTATACCCTTTTCTTAGAGGAGACCCGTGGCCTACAGCAGCGCGTGGAATGGGTTTATATTGATTATCATAATGAAGTAAGGCGGACAATAAGCGACGATATGCAGAAATAGATAAGGCGACAGTACTTCCCTGGACGTACGCTTTCAGAAGGAGCTCTACGCAGTTAAATTGTTTTAGTTCGTTCTGTAGCCACATTTAACTTCAAAAAAACCGGTTGGTTAGCTCAAAGACCGATGGAGGGACGAACTGGACGTTATGATTTTTCAATAGTTTTATTGCAACATTAACTGTATATTTAATATAGCCTCTCTCTTCTCTCTCGGTATTGTAATAAAGATACCTACGTGTACTGTGAAATCAAGTTTATTTTCAAATGTATGCCGAAGTTTTGTCCAGCGCCCTTTGGCATCTAAGGCAGCTACCGAACAGTGGAGAAAGACCTCCACGCCCTGCACGCAGAGAACTTGGAAGAGATCGCACAAGAGGAGGCCAAGGTCTACTTTAGGTGGCTGACGATTTTTTTAAATGTTTGATATATAATATATCGTACATGACAACTAACATAGTATTATATCAAAATTGCTTTATGTTACATTAATATTATCTATTTAATTTCAACGCAACAGTGTTATCCTGATACTTTGAAATTAAATCGTATACGAATGACATACAAAAATATCAAAATTTTGGAGATAAATTGTTAATATAACGCAATTTGGAGATAAAATATAAAATAAAGGAATTTTTGAGATAATACTATGTTACTTGTCAAGTGCGATATATATTAATTGTTTTTTTCTGAGTGTTCGATCTTTGTATTGGTATTTTTTATATTTGGTATTGGTATGCTTAAACATAATTGTTTAAGCATACTGAATTAATATTTGGTATTCAAAAATAATATTTGATCCTTTTTTTATTATTGGTCTTTTCTTTCGATTGATGACTATTACAACCAGTAAGTATATCTTTTGATATTGATCTAATAAATCTTGGTTGCTTGGTTGCGCCCTCCATTCAATAGGTTAATTTAGTATATGAAAAAGCAGCACGAGCCGAGCGAGCGTCTCGCAACGGCGGCCGGCGAGTGCTAGAAGCTAATTTGCTTGAGATTCCGAACATGTTTCCAGATCAAACTATATTATAATTAATATAATATTAGTATACAAAAATAACCAACATTTAGGTACTCAGTTTTAAAAAAAGTATCTAAATTTTATTTTTAATGGTCATTTGTCTCAGTCTTGAGGCCCATCATAAAACTATCAAAGTTAATTTATAAATCAAACATTTTTGCTTAGCCCAGAACACTTTAAAATATCGATTGTTTAATTTCTTTTATGTTTCAGATGAAGAGGATCAATCATTAAAAAGGATGACCATTTACGTTTATTATTTTTTAAAGATTAAATTTTTTTGCCAGCTACTTTTGCAAATTTCAAAAGATCATTTAAACACATGATATATAATAATGATTACTATACTTGCTCAGTGCAAAACGTAAAATTACATTCGAAACCTATAGGTACTGTGACTTTATGGTGATCGGTCTTATTGTAACTGTTGAACTGCACCTACCTACAGAAATAATACACGCTATTTTGAGGTAGAACTAAAAGGACACAATTACTGCATTAGTAGTTACTACTTTCCTACTTAAGAATAAAATTAAAAGCAACTGTCACAGTTTCTTAAAAACATAATAACGTTATAATACACGACGCAATTTGATTCGTTACAGGACACTGCATATTTTTCGAGAACATTCACTTACACAAAACCGATTGCTACAGACACTTATAAGAACATCCGAGTCTTTAGGGCAGGGGAGACGCCGTAATTGGACTTGTCCTTGCCCAGTAATGTCCTCACCATTAGGTTGCGGGGAGAAAAGGGATTTTTCTTAAGAAACAGTTTTTTTAGTAGTACATTTTTCAACTTCATGTCACCTTCAACCAATTTCTTATGAGTTTTAAAGCCATACGTCGTAGGGTTTGCGCCAACGTCGTCGTAATCCCCTTTTTGCAAATTTTTAAATGCAGAGAAAAATCCTGGCTTTTCCTTTTTTTGTAGTTCATACGTGAGCGGGTTACTATTTCTCAAGAAAGGTGCGGTCTGCGTGGAGCAGTTCTTGGGATCGTGTTCACAATGGAAGGCGGCTCCGTGCGCTGTGGCAGGCCGCTGGCTCTTGCGTGAGCGCTTATTAAAGAAGGAAAATTTCTTTTCACTTTGCGTGCTAGTGCTCTTAACTTCTACTTCCTTCAGACAGAGAGGAGGCTGCGGCGCGTACGGCGCGTGCATGTGGCCGTAGTGTGGCTCGTAAGGGCCCGGATAGGGTGGCGCGGAGGGCTGTTGGTAGTATCCCGACGAGGCATGTTCGTGGATCGTCTGTTGCTGCACTCTGTGCGGCGTGAAATCGCTCGACTCTGGCGTTAGGGCGCTATAGTAGGCCCTCTGGTCGTAAGGCGGCTGGCCGTATTCGGGGCGAACGTATTGAGGCACTGGGGGACGTTGGTAATACTCTTGCCCGTACATCGCGTAGTTCGTGATGTTTTGTCGAAACGGGGTATGTGTATGCTTTGGTTTCACATCCCCTTCCAATGCACTGTCGCTTTCGCACCCTTCAGGGTGTTCCACCTTTTTCTTTTTCTTGAGGATTCCTATCGATTTGAGCATTTTGACAAGCATACCGACTTTATTCTGGAATGAAACAAAATATAACGTGAAAACATTGATCGCTTGTTAAGCTACAAACTATTTGTCGTTGTGTTGAGTGCATATTGAGTTACGTGTTCATTACCGAGCTGGCAGAAATGCGTCACTGTAAATTTGAAGTCGGCACGGAGTAGACAACACAACGCAAAAAGGCTGAAGTTGTTGCATAGGTACGTAAGTTTAAAAAATTCTAGTGTGTGTACTTGTACTCGTCCTTGGATTCTCATTGGGCTTTGTCAGAATCGACGATCAAAAGTCTCTTTTGATCGTCGATCCTGACAAAGCTCTTTCGCTTCACTTATATTCATCAATCTTTTCATACGAGCCCTCTCGACCTTCTCATTACGCACTTCAGCCTTTTCAAAAAACATTATCGATTTGATCTAAAAACTTTCTTCGTGACCGTTATCTTCCAATTGCCTTCCACGTTAGCTCTATATCTCTTCCAATATACTTTCATTCTCCCTGAATCAATTCGACGATACCATAAGTCACGTTTTTTCTCTCCAATCCCTCCATTTATTTCCTTATTGCATAGTGTTATAATTTTCCTGTTTATTTATTTATTACTACTATTTATTATTTATTTTGTCCTCCTACACAATAATATAAGTAAATAATAATAACAATGACTATATATAATAAATAATAATAAGAACTATTCATCATAGTATTCAATGTGTAGTCTATATATTTGATACACTTCCATAACAAGATTTTCTTTGGTTGCCAACTCTTAAATTTCTATACTAAGGTTGCCTGGAAGAAACTGCTACTTAGCAATAAGCCGCCTGTTGAAGGTACATTAGCTTATTCTGTGATCTTACATTACTGCTTTGAGTTGCTATTGTAATTGTTTAATGCGCAATAAAGACTATTTCATTCATTCTTCCGATCTGTATGCCTAAACCACCACAACATAACCTTCTATTGACTACAAAATATGGTAAATATGAGGAAGATAATAAAAGAAAAGTGAGAAGGGAATACGTTGGACGGGACTGTAAATGGAGTAATGGGGAGTCAGTTCGTATCCGGGAAGACATGAATGGCGGTGCATAATGTTGTTTTGGTTCTGACACTAATTTGTGAGAGCGAGTGTTGGTATAACAGAAGAAGATATAAAAAGCACTAGTGTAAATAACGAACCTTATCTTGCAGAGCAGATATGGAACTGAAACGAGTCGACGAATCTGTTACCTCCAAGCTTAATTTGTCCAGTACTGTGTCGGACTGTGTGGTGGTGTAATAGTTTTCGGAAGTGAGCCGTGAGCCGAACGCCTCACAACTTTTCGAGTAGCTCTTCTGCTCTGACGTGCCCACCTTAGTATCATTCTGAGTCAATCGCAAGCTTTCGCCTACACTCCTCGAGGTTAAGTCTTTACCCTTGTCCGATTCCTCCACCACACCTTCGCTTCTTTCATTATGCTTGTTGCGAACCTTTTTTTTACTCTGCTTTTGGTCTTTTGCAACGAACTCGTATATTTCTTTGATTAAGTCCTCAAAGTTATTGTTCTTGCCACTCTCGTAGTTGTCCTGTGTCGACTGATTTTTAGCTTTCGATGAACATTCAATACAGATTGGTTCCTTCGTAGCATTAATGCAAGCATGACATGCGACGACGCTAGGGCTAGGGACTACGAATCTGTTTTGCAAGCAGTTTACGGGGCACACCAAAGGGTAACAACACTGGCCCGGGAAAGACGGTACGAAAGATGTTGGAAGAGGTGGTGCGATGGGCGCGACTGTCGGGGCGATGTAACTGTTGCAGTTGTTTTCAATCGTGCAATTTGGGGTTTCTGTCAAAGTGTTGCTTGTCTGTTTATCAACTTGCTTAACGCAGTCTTCTGACAGTGGTTGAGAGCTATCCCGTTTGATTTCTTGTAAGAAACTTTGCAGAATATCTTTGATTTCACATAGAGCTTTGTCTGTCTGGTTCGATTCTGGCAATTTATTTAAAGATTGATTAACTAGATGTTGATTGACTATGCAGTGTTGGTCGTGGACGATTTGAGGGCATTGTGAATTACTTGTATTTGTATCCGCGTGAACTTGAGCGCAGGTCAAGATTTTAATTGGCTTTTGTATCTTGGGCTGTTCTCGGTGGTATTTAATGGGAACTACCTCTGATGCATTATCGCTTTCGACTACTGCATAATACTCTTCATGTTTTTTGGGCCTCGTGACGTGTCGAGCCCCTGGTTGCTTTGCCTGAATTAGATCATCATAATCTTGGTATAGTTGAGCTTTTAAATTGAGGCGAGGTCTGTGCGTTCTTGGAGATGGAAGAACTTCTTTATATGGATAACAAGTATATTGATGACCGAATACATTTTCTTCGACAAATTTCCGTCTGGATTTCGGACTTGATTTTTCTTTCACAGGGATGACGTCATAGTATGCGGAATCATTGTAAATATCCTCGTGCCGCCGGTGAGATCTGGTGCGATAGTGTCTATTAGAACTGTACAGCCGCGTGTCGCAAACGCTTCTTGCGTCACTAAATCGGCGCTGACGATCGTCGTAGCAACAAGAGCAGAGATCGGTTCCCTCTTGAATATCGTTGCGTATGTGGTGATACTCATGGTCGCGACACACCGGCGCTGAAAACTGACTTAAATTAGATCCTCTCCGTCCGAATAGTTTGACAGGCTGATATTGTCTTCTAATTATATCAGCTATAAAATCCCGGTCTAGCATTGTGGACATCTTTTCTTTTTTGTTACGTGTTTCATGGTAATAGCAAGTGGGATTGGCGTCGCCACTACGTCTTTTAGTTTTCTCTCTGCGTTTTTTATTTCGAGATTGATCGAAATCAGATTGTTCGGTATGCTGCGGTTGTATAGGGTACTGCTCTTTATGGCGACGCTTGCTGCGCCGCTGCTGAGGTGATGGTGTAGTCTCGTACGGAAGCACCTCTCTGTCATGGCCAGTGGATTCGTAGCTGCTAGTCGTGTGCGGATTTATGTTCTCCACTGTAAAAGGAGTTCTGTGTTTACCTATAATTTGATCATATTCGCGAGGTTTTTTTTTGCGCGCTGCAATTTTTTTTGCTTTTTGAATTTTTGCCAATTGCGCATGATAATCTTCTAAAGTAACAAAGGGTTCGGGCTCCGCTCTGCACTCGTCAGAGACGTGTTTTCCCACGTCAGGTATAAATTCGGCTTCGTCAGAATTGGAGCAGCGCGTCTCAGGTTGTCTATATATAAATTTAGTGCCTTGCGAAATCGCCTGTCTGCCAGACAGGTGCTCCTCATATGATTCTTTGTCATGCCGTCCTCCCGCTTCCTGAAAATGGTCGGCTTCTCTCTTGAAGCTGTTCTCGAGACTAGCTAGATCCTGGCAATGCTTGTTCACTTCATTGAGTTGACGTTCGATACCAATTATTCTGTGCTTCAGATCTGTGACGTTGATCGCTATGCTTGAACTGATTTTTATATCTGGTTGTGACGAACTTCCTGTAACCAATATTCAGAATTAAACAAGTGCAGCGACACACCAGTCAGAGAACTGCGACGGATCTTTTTTGCAGCTGCTATTGTTAATTACGTTTCTTAGTATATCATTTCCTAAAAAAATACATACGTAATTATGTTGTATAAGTTCAGCCGTCGCAAATCTTCTGCTTAGTGTGTCGCTACATAAAACATGTATGAGGTCTTAAGGAACAAAGGTGCATCTTACCAAGGGCTCGCCTAAAAAACTCTCGAATGGCGCGATACCGACGCTTGGCTCGTGGGGAAATACGGCGCCGTGGGGTGCGCAGCGTCATCACTTGTCCGCCCCCAAACGACACCTGCGCACATCGAACAGCTTTTTATTCAGTTGGACATAGTGGCTGTTCTTATGGCACACAGTGGGATCACGAGTACCCGACGAGACACGCAACCAATGATAATAATAATTATAATCGTTTTTTTTTTCGATAACAGCAACCCATATCTAATTAGTAACGGACTTATAAACTACGTTAGTACATTAATTATAAAACTAAGAACTTCTAACTGGCTATTGTACGGCTTGTTATTAGAGCTTGTGTGCTAGTTGGGTTAGGTCTAGTAAATCTGCGAATAAGGGAGACTTACCTGTCTTTTCACCTAACAATTTAATTCGACCGCATGTGTTCCACATCGTACGAACTATATTCCATGTTGGCGTTTGTAAAGTATCCAAAACAATTGCACTTATAGTTAAATTTTATTTTATAGATATGGTATGTATAGCTAGAAATAAAATATAAAATCACATTTGACTTTTGAATTTCATTTATAAAATGACTGACTTTTCCTTAACATGCCAGCTTCTGACTACATTATGAAAGGTTTATCAAAAAGAATGTAGCAGAAAGATTTACATCATTTGAATCGTGCAAAATAGCTGCGCTTGTGTCATTGACTTACAAATAAATGGACCACGGGTCTAATACAAAAACCACGAAAAAAATGTCCCAAGTCAACCTATTTAAACGTAGTGACATGTAAAGGAATAAAACGTTGAATTTAAATTGTAATGTCATCGCAGTACTGTCTAATTTTGCTTGCTTCGCTGTCAGTCGAACAAACGAAGACTAAAGCGTGAATGACGCTCTGTATACGATTTTAACGCCCTATAAGTTCGGACACTTTTTAGCGCGGACCCGACGTCCATATAATTGTAAAGTCAATGGCTTGTGTTGAATATTTTTTTCAAGCAGTTTATGTTCCCACCCTCCCTCCGCATAACATTTATAAAATAAATGACACAAGTGTAACTACAGTCACAAACAAAATACTTGACACGTGCCTGCACTCAGCCGAAGAATGACCGAGCGTTTTTATATTATAATATAAATATTCATCATAAGCACTGCTATTTAGCACGATTTAACCTTGACTTTTGACTTGGTTTTACTACCATTTTCTTAACAAGGTTTTCCGCAAAAGTAACGCCTGAATTTATTAATTATTTCAAAATGGCATATCTTCGTTTGCAACAGAGTTTAACATTTTTACGTCGGACCAACTTAAGTGAAAACTTTAATTTAAACTTTTGAACATCGAACGTAAGCACCATCGCCACTGTGATTTTGCGTTGTTCCGTCAACACTGAATGTGAAATTCTGTTGATTTTTTAAGATACCTATTTTTGTTATTTTTATTAGCAACACATAATAATGCTATCGCGGTTTGCATTCCTTGAGGGAAGACGTGCAGTGGTTAGTGCACTACGGACACACGATGTGCCTATGAAGATGCAAGTACGGCGGAGTCTCCTCCCGCCCACGCCGTACGATTCTACCGCTAAGCATAAGCTTCACCTCAAGTACATGTTCAACGAGAGCTGGGAGTGTATACCAATCTTGGTGGTCGTGGTTTTAGCTGTTACTGGTATTTTCCTCAAAACCATATATGCGTTCCGAAATAAGGTAAGTCTAAACTTAGATTGTTTATAGTAATATTTTTAATAACACGGGTTGGACTTTTAATATTTATAATTTATTAGAGCCACGGAACGCAGCATTTTAGGTGTTAAAACGATCGCGATCGTAAGACCACGCGTTCCAAAGTCCGTTTAGCTGATGTAGTCAAAAAATGTACAGGCCAAATTAGGATTTAGCTGGCCACATCCGTCGTATGTACGGACAACGGCACATCAGACTACACATTTTTGTTCGAAAATCGCCTTCATTGCAACGGAACAAGATATGTCAATATATATATAGTGTGTACCTTGGCTATATCCATGGTATATCACTCAACGGGTGCTCCAAGATGACAAGACTAGGCGGAGATAGTGGGATGACCTAAACCAGTCTTGAGTGACTGCCCAAAGATTGCTTTATAGAGAAGTTGGAAGTCCGAGGGAGAAACCTTTATCCAGCAGTGGGATACTATGCCAGGCTAATAATAAAAAAAATATTAAAAATATATCGAGTTCTTAGGTTTTCGCGATTGTTATATATAGGAAATGAAACTATTTTTCCGGATTTAAAACGTCGGTTTGTTTAAAAAAACAAATATACGCGATTTAAATCCGGAAAAACAGTTTCATTACCTAAATATTAAAAATATTTATTGATTTATTTAGGAAACACTTGCCACCCATTATCCGCCTATACAAATAATATAATATAATATTATGTATATTATATAATTTGCCGGATCGAAGGAATTTTTCTTAGTATTTTTTTTGTTTAATTTAGCTTCTTAAGCCGGATTAGAATCGACGTCTTCTAGCAAACCGTGCCAGACGCTATGACATGTGCTTAGTGGGCATAGCGTCTGGTACGGTTTACTAGAAGACCTCGGTTCGAATCCGGCCGGATCGAAGGAATTTTTTGTAAGTGTTCTTAATCTTTGTTATTAATATTTAAAGGGTTATTTTGTTCATGTAAGATTTTCTAATATAAACTGTTTAGTGTTTGCACTCAGATTCTCCTCTGACTGGTTGTTTTGTACTTAATTGTTTCTGTGGTTGCTATAAAGTCGGAATATGAACATAATTGAATTGATTTATACGTTGCCCTTGTAGGTAGATGTGGTATTGTGGTCGCACGACAGCAAGCACACCATATCGCGCACGATGAACCTGCGCAGTCCCACAGTACATAAGTTGATCACCATCAGCCAGCGGTACGAACCCTGGCCTGAGATGCAAGATGTGCTTGACAAGATGCGAGAGGCAGAAAGTCAGGAGCAAGCGCCCGAGTGACAAAAAGCAGTGATATAGATGCTAAAAACCGCGATCACAGAAATCTGAATGAAACACAGAAAGTACGAAGATAGTTTTATTTTGCTAATAATATTTCCAGTGGATGAACTTTTGAAGGCGGATATTAAATCACAGCAACTATCATATCGCAGTTAGACATTTTGCACTTATTTGTTAACCCAAAAAGCTGTTATAATCAATGATCATAAACACGTTAAAAATCATTGGTTGTAAAAATACATAGAGCATAGATAAAAAGAAAAAAATGTACGAAGTGGTACTGTAATAATACTCTTTGAATTCGATTTTCGTCAGATTTAAATACCGAATGTCACAATCCTGTTTAAATATTTTATATAGCTAAAATTTTGCTATTTTGCCTATTGGCTATAACAGCTACTTTACAGATTTTCGGCGTCAATGAAGTATAGATTTCTAAAAATTTAACAAAGCTATTCAGCTTTATACTAGTTTTAGAAAGATTTATAAATTGTATAGTGATGTTGTCGAAGTTTGCGCTGGTGAATGCGCGGGGTTCGTGCCTAACGGGCACGCTGCAGCGGTTACGCGGCGGAGCAGCGCGCCCTCAGCCCGACCCGCTCAAGGTGCAGGTTCGCCGCTCGACCGGCCACATCTTACCACCTTCGCAGTACGATGCCCGAATACCGGATAAGATGAAGTTCGGCACGCTCATAATCAACAATTATGAAATTATTCCGGTGTTTGTTGTAACAGCTTTCTCCTTAACCATTCTGTTCTTTCATATTATCTGGGCTTCGAAAAACAAGGTAAGTTGGCATTTTCGCTGGCGCTTGTTGTGTTAAATTAGCCTTTGGGGTATATTATTTTTATTTGGTGTTAAATGTGAAATAGAGAAAAACTACATTGAGCATGGGTAGAGATTTGAATCCAATGACGCGTCTCGTAGGTGGACGTGGTGTTCTCGGCGCGCAGTGCCAACAACATCTCACGAACGATGAACTTGCGGCACCCTACTATTCACAAGCTGGTCATCATCGCGCAACGCTACGACCCGTGGCCCGAGATGCAGGATGTGCTGGACAAGATGGTGGTGGCCGAGCGACGCGCTATGCTCAAGGCCACAGTGTGCAGCTATAGTTCCCGCGAGGGTCACCCGCCTGAAGGTGACAGGTCGCAATAGGGGTAAACCCTCCCAAGGTACCCGTGTGAAGCGCCTGACTCGCGTTCACTTAAAATCGCCTGTAAGACCCGGAAATGTAAGACGCAACATTTTGTAAATAAACAATCATAAAATCCGAATTTTTTCTTTCATTGGTTTGGTTCCAGCGCGACGGACTTTTATAGTTTTGTATATTTGTACATTCCCTAAAAGATGCGTCATTGGATTGATGTAGTATACAGAGATGTGCTTGTACAAGTTATTGCCTATCGATCAACAGTCGTCACTGAAAACGAAAGCGCGAACACGTTATAGTGTTGCTTAGTGTACATTTTATTTTCCATTCAAGACCAATCCATGACGTGTCTTAAGGTGGTGATTTGTCTTAAGGTGGACGTCGTATGGCAGGCGAATAGCCGTGATAACATATCTCGGACTATGGACTTGGACTACCCGACAGTGCACAAAATGTTCATTATCAATCAGATTTACGAGCCTTGGCCGGAAATGAAGATAGTCTTGAAGAAAATGCATGACGCTGCGCACCGCCAGCTGTCGCGGCAAGAACTTTGTAACTACAAATAAGTCGCGCACGACGATAGTTGTTAGGGATTCCGATGTTAGCTCTAGCATGGTACCCACTCTTCGCTGAAGCGTATGTATAGACGGTTTGGACTTAATAGATCTTCAGTCTCGGTGACCAATAATATTTGTTTACGCGGCGACTGAGAAACCGGTCGTTGATGCCGATATGCTTAAGTAAACCTAACGTCTCTATGACTTGCAAGTATTACTTTCAGCATTTGATCGTACAATTGGAGACGGCCAGTGATGGCCAAAGCTGGCCGTTAAAACGTCTCGATCTTGTTTACGTCAAAAAATTTTGCACTTATGTGCCGAAATGTGGGCGTTGTATGTTTTCTATCAAAGTATTAATGTGATGTATTAGTCTGTCCTAGAGTTTAATTTATGTTTTTTAATGTGCTCAATTTTAATGTCTTTTTATCGTTATTTGTATTTATTATTTTTAGATATTGCACCAGTACTTTAGTAGAAAACAGCAGTGTTTGGATACATTCGGGCAAAAACGCTTACATGAAAAGACGATCGAGATGATCCTATTGAATAGTTGCAGATTATTGGAAAGTAACTATAACGAAGAGCGATAGGTGAAGTTTATCTTCTACCCTCGTAGTTTTTTACGAACAGCGTTGTACTTGGTCGATTTGTAATAACATGGTGGTCGAATTTGACGTGCACCTAATAGAAATTGGGAATAAAGGCAAAATTTATTTCAGAATTATCGTCAGCCAGCAATAGTTTGGTTGACCGTACTTTTGGGAATTTAGCAGTTCGGTAGACTATAGAGGTGCTTTTTGTATTAGTATACAGGGAAAAAATGGATAAATATTTTACCAAAAGTTTGACTGTGTACTTTTTTGCATTGTACGTTCACGTATTTTTCATCATATTTCTTTACGTTTTCTGTGACATGAAATTAACCAGATTCCTTGATAATCTATACTATAGTACTGCCTGATATGAAAATGGAGCTCTTGAGTTTATAATTCAAAGAAGTTGACATTGGCATCTTTGGCGAAATATTATACTCTAAATAAGATATTTATGAAATAACATTTATTTCGTATAAAGTTGTGTACGTTAAAGTTGGCCAAACGTGTATGTGAAATGTGCTTGAAGTGCAATCTCGCATTGTCGTGGTGACTTTAGCTTCGTAGTGAGCTACGTTGCAGCGACTTCTGCTCTGAGGCGACTTTACCACTGGACGGTAGAGACCAGTCTGTCGCGTTCAACTTCGCGCATTCTGCCGGCTAATTATGCATTACGACAGTTACCACGAATTGCAGCGACCGGATACGTGTAAGTAGGCTAGACTTAAAATGCAATAGGTAAGTAGTGTTATTTGCCGATTCGCTTTGCGTTTTTGCGCAGCTTTCGCAGCGACCTGGCGGCATATTCCCCGGCTGG